ATAATTGTAGAAGTAATTTGAATTTGAATCAGAAATTTAAGACCAAGGTATTCTAACACAGGAGGTTTCTGCAGCCTGTAAGGTTGTTTAAATACCTAGAATTTGGCCAGCTTTGTTCGTTCTTCAATTATGAAATTAGCCGGAGTTTCGATCTGAGGTCAGGGGTTGGAGTGCAGCATGAGATGTAAGTCGGTTTTAGGTTTGTCGCAGTGTATTTTCTTCTCAGAACATGCCCACCCTCGAGCTGTACCTGAATTTGGGCCGGAATTTCAACAAAATGAGTCAAGCTTGACCTGGCTGTGCACAAAAATATATTCAATACCAAAAAATAAAGTACGTTGATCAAATTTGGACAAACAAAAATAAGGTGCAACAAATCAAACTCATTTCTCTTCCTGGATGTGCGTCCATTTACAGCTTCCCATTACTAGTTTTTAGGAGTATCATTCACAGCTACTGGGCTGATACAGCTGCATTTGCTCTAGTTTTTGTACGTTGGTTAACAATATAAGCGGCCCACCTACGTCTCGTTGTGTGGTTGCCCTGCATTACCGGATTTCTGCACTTTGTAAAAAGTGAGGGTTAAATTTCAAACTAATTATTGACTGAAATTCTGCGCATTTCGAGAAATTCAGTGAATTCTGTGGAAAACTGGAACTGTTTCGGTGCTGTTTCACTGACTGGTGGATGAGTTGTTTGCGGCCAGGAAGCAGGGGAATTCTTTTTTCCGGACACCACTTCATTTGGTTCTACAGAATTATCCAACAATAAAAGACGTTATTCGCGGATATTCTCTGAAAAATATGTTTAAGAAACAACAGCCTTCTTAGTCTTATCTTTTTTGTCTAAAATTTTTACCAAAATTTCGTAAAATTCAATAAAACTTAAGTTAGTAAAATGCTTCTAAGAATACATGCAACAGAGATGTAGATGGTTCCTGGAGACAATTCGAAAGAGGAGTTATCCGGAAAAAGAGGGGGAGGGGGGGGGGACTTAGGGAGTTAATGAAATCCGTCTTCCCTAGGTAGTTCTACTATCAGATGGGCACTGCATTCGAACAAGAGACAGCTACTGCGGCGAATCTATGAAAAATCACACTCTTTCGGCCGGTCCTATCCAGAAACTGTAACGGATTCTGATTTTCACAAAAATTCATTATTTCGATTATTATCACATGTTCTTCACGTTTCCCCAGTTTCTGCGGCTACCAACAGCCCCTCAATTCTCATCTCCACGCTCTCCTCTGATTCAGCTCGTTCTTCTGTTCCGGTCGTTTACGAACAGCGCGTCTATTCCTCGAACTAATTGTAGCTTTCAGGAAGCCCCCTGCAAAACGATTTCCCTTTGATATTTTTCGGATAATACAATCATTAACTGGTGACTTCTGCGGACAGTGAAGCCCTCAATATAAGCTTTAGTCGAAAATGTCAGAGTCTTCAGAGTTAAAATATACTCTTTTCGATAGCTGGTTTTCGGTTGACAGCAAGTTGAGCAGAAAGTTTCAACAAATCCATCGATGCTACATTACTGTCCGATTCTCTTGTCAGTAGTCCTTCTGGATATTTACGCCTCCAGCTGTCCACATCTTGCAAAAAAAAAAAGTGTGTAAATTAAGGTCACTTGAAACTGATTGCTGACGCCCACTCACATGTACATTTTGCCTTGTATAAAAAACACTTCTGCTTAAAGCAATCATCAACCGGTAGTAGGACTGTCGATGATTCAGCGCATGCGAAACAAGATGATGCGGGCAGTTTGAGTTCTCACTCCCAGCCGCACATTCTGCACTGCCTGTGTTTACAGCTAAGGGATGAAACCACTGACTGCTCTCCAATGTGTCCATTGACACATATGATATTTGGGTCGATTCCTTACGCCCAGTTCTAATAATTCCTTAAGTAGGCTACCACGCGCATGTGTCGATTTACCGTCCAGAAATGAAGTACAGAGTGTAAGCAGTCAAAAAATTCGCGATATTACCTCCTCTGAGCAGTATGGCATTATATCCTCGGTCACGAAACGTGGACACTACTTGTCCTGCTCCATAAATTTCACCACAAACGATAAGGATCGTTTCGGCACTTGCTCGCTTCATTGATTCCGTCGCAAAACGCTCTCTGCAGAGTAGCAATCGTGGATAGTGCTCTGCTGCAAACTGTAAATGTTCCAGAAACACAGACTGTTGGATTTTCAGCTGTGGATATCCGAGAATACCGAGCAAGCAACGGTGCTAATGGAATAACAATCGAAATAACTTACCTCCAACAATGTGTTCCTCCTTGAATTCTTCATCAGGTCGAGCATCCATAATGAGTGGTTTTGGCGTTGAAGCATCTTGCTCACACAGTAAGGCCACCTAGGAAAAAACACTGTCTTGTCTGGCACTATATAATAATCATAGGCGGATCCGAGGAGGGGGAGCGAAGGGTTTCGATGGTAAACTGGTACTGGTGCATGCCAGGGAGTCGAACTCATCATCAGCTTGCTGCTAAGTAACTTCCGGGAGGGAGAGCCATCGGAAGCCTTGCCAACATATGGTTGCTTTTGGCAATTGCTATTATCCGGCCACTCATCCACATTCCACAGAAAGCAACTTATAGAGAAATTTTGACTTCCAGTTACACTTACAAGATGGTCGATGGAAATAGCAGGATATTGCTGCCCAGCAATAATCATAACAAAGGCAACGAGGCCGGATAAATAATGGAAGTGGCAGTTACCTCCAAGTGAGACTGATTCTGGATGGAAAAAACCGTTGCCCAGGCAACAACAGGTCGTGCTGTTGTGCAGCAGCATCCCTAAGTGAACGCTCAACGATGGATTCCGGACAGACCTCCAACCGTACTGCCATGATCTCCAGCGTCATTATTTCTCCTTCCGTATTTATCCTATTCGACAAATTGGCAGTTCGATCGAAACTGAGCACGCCTGACGATGGTTCCCCCTTTTGGTGACCTTGTCCACTCGTTTTTAGCAAGAATTGTACTTCCCCAGAGTACCATAAAATTTGCCTCCAAACGCGACTTCAAATTTCTCCTGAACAACCGGAGTATGTGAACACTGTTGGACACTTCGTACACGTTTTATACAATTGATCCATGTTACAATGTCCACCGGAAGTGACAGACTAATGGAAAAAATCATTTGGATGACCTCAACAAGCAGCCCAAAGAACGCAATACACAGAACACTGATGAAAATCAAGTATAAAAAAAGAACTGCAAGCCCAGTCCAGTGGTCAGCAAATAATGTAGCTCCGTCACTCGGCCAAATTTCACGTCGATGTGCTCCCAGGCCGCGAACAGCTATGCCGGGTTCTTTCTTTAAAGCTCCATTGTAAGCACCCTATTTTCCCGCAAGCCGACTGGGTGCCGTCCCTTTTTGAGCGGGTACCATTCGCTGACGCACGAGTTCACCACTGCTACCAAAGCAGGTGACATCCACAATACGTGTGGAAGGAGCGCCTCTAGTTACGTGCTGCAACCTCACGTTGCAGTAATGGTGATAAGCGAGTTGGCAAAGGGCAAAAATATTCATTCTTGAATATTTCTCAGTGAGCCGGAACAAACGGCAATGACCAAGCTGATGGAACTTCTAGGCCCACAAACTCCACATCGGAATCTCAGCCTTTAAATAGAAGTGAAACAGATGGGACGTGGGTTAAACGAAGGCCTTGCGGATGGACAGTTTATGTAATCGAGCGCCGGCCACAGGCGGATCCAGCGAAGGGGGGACAGTGGGTCTTTCGCTCCCCAGCTGCACAGGTACCACTGCTATAAAAGTCAGAGTCTAAAGCTAAAACTGAAGAAAACTCGCTTTCGTCCGTACCCTCCCTCTCCCCCGGGAGCTTCACTCCCCTCTCCCCTCCCCCTTACTCTTCGCCGCTAGGAACCCCACTCCCTTTCGCTCCCCCTCCATCACCACTCGTCGCTTCCTCCCCTCCCCCCCGCCCCCTTCCCCCCTCTCCCCAAGGAGGCCGTCCTGGATCCGCCCGTAGCGCTGGCATTACAGTAAAAGCCAGTATACGCAGCTGTCCTCTGAAGAGTAGCACACGGAGTAAGAGGCATCACCAACACAGACTAGCTAGCACAGGAGATCCAGGACGGGATCCTTGGAGGATGGGGGAGGGTGACGGGAGAGCCTTCTTTCCACCCTGGAACTATACAAAAACTTGGAATAGGGTTGTAACACTGCTACTTAGGATTATTTTAGAGTTACTTCAGACTTTAGTTTACTTTAGTTTCAGCTTTAGATCCGGGCTTTTCTAGCGCTAGTATCTGTGCCGGAAGGCCCATAGCTTCCCTCCCACGCCCTCCTTCAGCGGACCCGCCTATGCTAGCCAGCGAGTACAAAGCTTTGTAGCTAAACCTCACCATATGGTACTGGACTGTGGAAGGTGAACAAAAGAAGACAGAGCTGACTAATAAATGATAGGAAATGCAACAGTATCACATCACACATTTGAAAAAAAGTTTGCTCGATTCAGTAGTAAGATTTTTGTGCACAAAAACGAATCACAGAAGTGTTTCTAAAACTGCAGTGTGGAAATGCTGGATATCGAGATTTCGATCGAGCGATTTAGTCATAACGATTTTTGAAAATATAAAAAATAATTTTATCCTGTATCGCCGATAGTGACCAAAGAGCCTTCTGCACAATCAATACTGCGCCGTGTAACTGAAAAACATTTTACAAAAACTATTTAAAAACCCAAAAACTGTTCAAACCCAAACGCAATTTAATGTGATAAACTCCGAAATAAGAGGAATGAAAAAGTAAGCCGTTGCACTGATGGCGAAACGGGATGCGACGATGAAAAAAAAAAAAAAAAACCAACTGACTAAAAGTATCAGGGAAATCAATTTTGGATATCTTGGATGTTTTTTTATACATCTTGGTTTTTTTTTTTGGATGTTTTTTTTAAAAAAAAAAAAAAAAACTCTACGTCCCGGACATTTCATGGTCAGAAAGTTCCTCCTCTCTTTTCCCCTCCAACATTACTATAATTTCACAAAGGGTGTAGAGAGTATTACCGGAGAAAATACGAAGAAATAGACGAGTATTGTTGGGAGCAGAAACAACAGTATGATGAAGAATAAGGTGGCGATGAAGAGTTGCCTGGTGTCGAGCCTCACTGAATCAACCCGCACGCGCAACGGGTTATATTTCTTGCCACGAAATACTCGCCACAGCGATTTTATTGAGGTTATACACAAAATGGCCAACCTGCAATAAAGCTTGCCAGTGCGGAAAAGACTGTACTTGCCTCACAAAGGCCCTCTGAAATCTCAGGAACTGTCACACATCCAACTCCCATTTGTCAGCCATAGTGGTCACACCTCCATCCACGTGCACACGCCCACACACACAATTTCTCTGCCGCGGGGTAAAGGATAACAGCAGGTAATTCACTAAGTCATGAAGTTTCGAATACAGTGACACTTCTCTATCCAAATTCTGCACCGTTCTCCACTGAACTTTGCAGTCTCCTAGACCCAGTTTTACCTGTCAAAACTGATTCTTTTCCCAAATCTTTCCGGCGCTCCAAACGTAAAAATAGACGATGAATGAATTGAACAATTCCATACAAATTTTTCAAACTATTTAATTTTTCATTCGCGGGGTGCAAAACTTACTGCTTTTTAGAGATGCTGCCCTTTTACCGCTTCGCGCCTCCACATCTCATCGCTGTAACTTGCAACATTTCCAGGACTGATGTAGTCGAAGCTGCTCCTGCATCACCTGGTGGTCAGCCTGCTACCGGTGGTGTCCTCACGCATCCTCCGCTGTTTTCTTCAAGAAGAGATATGCCAACAGCTGTCACGAAAAAGCGCATTTTCAGGTTCGGTGTATCCGTATGTGAGGCATAGACATTTGTGAAAACTGATTTTACATTTTCAGTTACGTAACGTCGCTAAGCTACGAGTTAAAGAGAAATGCTTTTTCGGACTCACTTTGAAGCATAGATATGAAAGCAATAAATGTGCACAGTGAGAAGACGAAGGAGATCCGATAATGCAGCGAAAAAGACGGATAATCCAAGAAAGCACGACAACGAGATGAAGCCAAATCCAATGTAAACACTCGCTACAGAGAGATACGCTGAAAATGCACTGTACAACAACAAAAAGTAAAATGTGTCTAGTAAAACTGTCACGGATTTCTTTGCCATCTCTCAGAAATGCGACGTTTCTGCAGAATATTGAGGAAGAGGCTGAGGAAAGATACAGCAATTTTCCAGAAATCACTGATAAGCTCTTTGCGTTGGCATAGCTGACGGAGCGATGCCGGGAATACAGGGTTCCATTATGCTTGCTTTTCAATGACTTCAGAAAAGCCTTCGACTCAGTTGAATATAGTGCTCTGTTCAATGCTCTCGTGAACCAAGAAGTCGACCCAGCTTACCTTGCTATTATCAAAGACTCCATGACAGGGTCGCATATGGAAATCACCCTTTGTTAATAGTTTTACAACTGACAGACTTATTTTATTATATAACATTCCAATAATCAAAAGGTTATACAAAATATTAGGTTATACAAAAAAGGTTGTACAAAATACCATTCCATCCCCCGCAAAAAAAAAGTGCTAACGAAGAAAACTATTAATAGTTTAACTATTTTGAAAACCGGAGAACACAAACAGTCCCTCTTTTAGCACGGACCGATTGAAGTTACGATTCCGTAAAGCCGTAATTATGCTATTCTCCTCTCTCACAAGCCATGCAACCACTCTCTACTCGCTGCCCATACTCTGCCCTAAATCAGGGTCAATACTTCCAGATCCAGCTTTTTATTGGAAAACACATACTCTGCCACAAGTAGATGTGATATACGAAGAACTGCGACAGTATAGCGTTTAAATGAGCATTCAGCTTCAGTCCGGCAGGATATGTTGTCAGCGAATGTATAAGCTGAAAAACAAAAAATCACAAAAATCTTCCACGGATCTTCTGAGAATTTCCAAAGTCAACATGAGGATTAATGGACCGAAACGTCTTATCTCACTCTCACCTTTTTTTTTATACTGTTCCTTCATGCCGTAATATATCGCGTCTTCGCCATTTAGGTTTCCTGGGTCTGCTTGGTTGCTACAACCTCAGCAGAGGGTTAAACGAAGTTCAAATTGGGAACCCCAACACCATTCACTGTGAGAAGCGGAGATGTTGAGAAGTAGCTCACGTGGTAGCATTTACCAGTAGTAACCACGCTGGTGAGATTGCGAAAGACCCTCACGGACAAATTGATGGAAAACGACAGCCGGCATGTTAAATATGCTTGTACAAATTTATCATTAATCAGAGTAACTACAAAAAAAGACCCGGGGGG